TTAAAATGTTAAAGGGTGATGGGTTAAAAAAAAAAATCAGTGCTTGGCCAGAAATGCCCTCAGGAGTTACCTGAATATAGGCGGGGGCTGTTCCAAGCTTTACTATTTCTATATATATTGGACTCCAGGGTGGTTTCTGATGAGTTCTTATTTGATGTATTCAAGAAAATAGTTTATGAAGGAAATAAATTATTATAAAAATTAAAGCGACTATGCAAAAGCACAATGACCAAGACTTCAGGGACCAAATAAAAGAAGACCCAAAAGAAGAAAGAAATAGAGCTAAATTAGGAGGTCCCCCAAAATGTCATAAGGTACTGTTTTTCCTATCAGTTAATTTGTCCAGATCACCAGAATGAATTAGGACACATTCAAAGTGTCTGTCATGCTTTTATAAACAATACTCTATGTTCTAGCATTAGCAGGCAAACAGTCCAAAGGGTGTGTTATGTGAACAATGGGGGACCTGACTTTCCTGTCACTTCCCCTGCATTGCTGCATATCTATTCTGGGGAAGAAGAGTCTTCCACATCATCAGGAGCTATGTATTTATGTGGAAAGCTGTGTGGAAACAAGGAGGGAAAGACACGTGGTCTGTGCAATCAGGTTTGAGAAGTCTGAATATTTCTAGAGTAGCTGCAGCCATCCTGCAGTGAAATAAAAAACAGGAACAAGGTTGTCAGCAAAACTATTTTTCAGGGTAAAACTTTTTTTTCTTTTTTCTTAATAAAAAACAGTGCAATGATAATAAAAAGAGTTTTAGTGTGACGTTGCACTCTCAAAAAATTATATTACTTGATTTAGAAAGTTGTTCTGGACAAAAAAAATAAATAAAAACTTCTTAGATAAAGGAAATTTCATCTTGAAAACTTTTATTCCAGAGAGTTTATTTTTAAAATTCACTTTTTATCATGCTGATCCATGCAGTATTTGAGCTTTATAAATAAGTATTAGGTACTGAGTTAAATTTTAAACATTTTAAATCAGTATCTTTATTTAAAGGAAACATTGAATAAACTCAAGACTCTTGTTTTCATATACAATTTTTTAAGAAATAAGTAGATAAAGAAGACTTTATTTTTTTAAGGTTTCAAGGTTTTATTTAAATTTTAGTTAACATATAGTGTAATATTAGTTTCCGGAGTAGTACTTAGTGGTTCATCACTTACATGCAACACCCAGTTCTTCATCTAAGTGCCCCCATTAGTGCCCATTCCCCATTTAGTCCAATCCTTGCCCAGCTCCTCTTCAGCCTCCCTCAGCTTGTCCTCTTCGATTAAGAGTCTCTGTTGGTTTGCCAAGTAAACTTTAATTGTCATGTTTTTTTCTCAAATTATTAACAGGCAAGTACACAGAATAAAGTTTGCCTATATATAGTTGTTGCAGTATAAGTTAATTTCACTCAAAATTTGAGGAATGTAAGTTTAAGCAATCACATACTTCAAGTTTTATTTTAAAATGCAATCTTTAATATGAAAAAGTTAAAATATGAATATGTGATATCAGAAGACAAGAGTTTGTGCAAGATGATAACAAGGAAAGGATGTTTTTTTCAAATCAGTCCTTAAATCTTGAAGAAAAAGTTTTCTCTGATACACAGGCACTCAACCTATAAATTAGAATCAGATTTAGAGAGAATATAATCTACTTCTTGATACAATGTGTAAAATGAATAGTAATGCTTTCAAGTATTGCTATAGATAAAGATTTTTGTGATCTAATATTTGGTTTTGCTTTCTTCTAGGAACATAGATGATGGAATTGCATTATAGCATCTCAGGATGATTTCTATCCAAAGAAGGGGCTCTAACCACTCTCTCTCTCTCTTTTTTAAATATTTTATTTATTTATTTGAGAGAGAGAGAGGCACAGCAAGAGAAGGAACAGAAGCAGGAGAATTGGAAGGGAAGAAGCAGGTTTCCAGCTGAGCAGGAAGCTCAGGTTGGGGCTTGTTCCCAGAACCCTGGGATCATGACCTGAGCCAAAGACAGATGCTCAATGCCCCTCTAACCTCTTAAAAAACATTCTAGTTATTTGCAATTTTGTTCCCCAGAAGTTATTACAAGTATTTAACATATTATAATATTTAAATATGTTACTCTTCATCTTTTAAGAATACAATTAAAAATTTATCATTAAATTCTGTACATTTTTTCTGATGATTTTCAACCATCTTTACTTTAGGTAATATTTTCTTCTTAACCTTCACTAGTTCCATCAATATTCTTCTTCCATTTCTGTTTGACATTAAAAATTTTAATCTGTAAGTGATTTCCTCCTTTCATATAAGGCTATACTCTCTTTATACATAAGTGCACTTCAAATGACCAATTAAATTAAGAACTCATTCTGGGAAATTGGGTGGAACTATTTTATTGAGTGGGAGGTTAATATCATGTCCTTGTTGAGAAAATGTCAGAGTTGAGCACATTCTTCTACCACTCTTATTTTGGTCAGCAGCTCAGCATGCAAATGCAAGTTTTGTTAGTGAACATCTGCAGGTAATGGGTAAAGAAGCATTGACACTGGCATAGAAAAGAGGCAAAACTGATCTTCACTGCTATTACCAAGAAAATACTACCTTTCATATAACAAGAATGGAAGTGATGAATACAGCGATTTATTTACTCATTCAAAAATATGTATTTAACACTTACAGAAAGTGTTTGGCTTGGTGATCCTACATTGTACACAGTTTATATGAAGATAATGTAACAACATAATAGAATGTGCTATAAGTATAATGCTCATATAATTTCAAGCTTTATGGGACTTTAAAGACATTTTAGTTCAATTCTTGTTTAGGCAATTGGGTACAAATACTTGGCCATCTCAAGTAATACTAGTTTCAAAGGCAGTGAAAGAGGTAAATCTGCTTTTGTCGTTTATAGTTGATCTTGCTTAATATTCCCAAGCTCACTTTCAAAGTCTTTGTATTTGTTTTCATCAGGTTCTATTAAGATTTTTTAACAATGTACTTTTTGGGTTGTTTTTCTTTTTTATTTTATCCTCTTAACTACCCACTGTTACTCCATTTCTCTCTATATTATAAACTCTTTTGTCTCTTCATTTTACATTTGTTAATAAAACAACATTCTTTTTAAGGACTTAGATATTTTAGACAAGTTTTTAGTTCAATATTTTTTGTCTTATTAGTGATGTGCTATATCTTCTAACATTAGAGAAATTATGACATCATATTATAAAAAAAAAAAAAAGGTTTTGTGAAATCACTATTGATTATTCCATGGAGGCTTTACTAAGAGCTGACATCAGTTTGAACAAAGAGCTTGAAACTGCCAAAAACTCCACAGTCACCTACCCTAAATAACCACAGGTTTTATCATACAGGTTTTGAATGATCAGTGCCTATTCTTAATAATCATATATTTCACTCATCCAGATGAATTTTTAACAATAATGTATGCTTGAGTGAAGTTCTTATTTAAAAATATAAGAAGAGAAGCAGCTGTGAAGGAAATGATAGCCAGGAAAAAAAGATGATACTCCCATTGTGTCTTTTAAGCAAAATTAGGTAATACTGTCAACATTTAAAAATAATGGCCATAGCAGTTTGTGAAAGTGGGCTGTCAATGTAAACTTTTTTTTTTTTAAGATTTTATTTATTTATTTGACACAGAGAGAGAGAGAGATCACTAGTAGGCAGAGCAGCAGGCAGAGAGAAGGGCGGGGGGGGGGGGGAGCAGGCTCCCTGCTGAGCAGAGAGACCAATGCAGGGCTGGATCCTAGCACTCTGAGATCATGACCTGAGCTGAAGGCAGAGGCTTAACCCATTGAGCCACCCAGGTGTCCCTGTCAATGTAAACTTAATCAAATCATTGAACTAGAAAACTCTGTGCAATTAATTTGACCATGTTGATTATTCAGACAATGAAAATGTTTCTTTGTTAAAGAACTGCACCACCTAGCGTTAATCCCATCCACCTTGTTTTGCATTTCCAGGGATCATTTAGCATTAATACTCCATGATTTTTATCCTATGCTTTGGTAAAATATAGATATTTCTGAATCCTTAATCGGTGTCAAATTAATTCTGAGAAGCTTCTACAAATGATAAAAGTAGCTTCATTTGTTTTCCTCATTGGTCCATTTGGTCATTGGCAAAATATTCTCCTATTAATCATTAGAATGTGGAGAAAAGGGAAGAGTTGGCTTCAGAATATATAAACCATAAATATACAAGGGCATTTCATGGGGAAGTGTGCAGATGCAGAAGGAGGAGGAATCATAAAGAAGCAAAAGTATTCTCAGAAACATGGAAAACAAGAACTTGAGAACCATGCATCATTTGGCATGTATAAAGCAGTACCTGCATGAAAGGAGCTCTTCAACCCATCATTCCAGGGCATGCCAGTGAGATTTTGTCAAAATAATGTGTCTCAAAGTACAAGAAAGTTAGCTTTCGTATAGAATATATCACAGGGTTAGTTTGTCCAATTTTCGTTTCTGAAAGTCCAACTATCCAGAATGCTTACCAATAAAGCTTTGAGACTAATTTTTTTTTCAGCATAACAGTATTCCTTGTTTTTGTACCACACCCAGTGCTCCATACAATCCGTGCCCTCTCTAATACCCACCACCTGGCTCCCCCAACCTCCCACCCCCCACCACATCAAAGCCCTCAGATTGTTTTTCAGAGACTAATATTTTTAATATGAGTTGAATAATTTAGTTAAAAGTGGTGTTCACATGCAGATTTTCCATGGACTATATAATTCATAAAATATGCATTTAAATTTATTGAAATTCTATAAAGATTTTTGTTACTCTTTGTCATATATTTCCTCAAGAATATGTATTAAATTTAAAAAAGAACATTGAATGTATTACTTAATATGTATCAAATATATATATATTGATTGTCTAATAAATTTTTACTCTATGTAGAACAGGAAAAACAGCAAGAAAATACAATGATAATAATAATCACATTGTTTATATTTATTGATTATTCTAACTGCCAGATACTTTTCCTAAAGCTCAAATGTATTAACACATTTATCTTTTTAAACACATTTTTTATCTTGACATAACTTTATGAAGGCAATTGTTATCATGTTCCTTCTTTAACAGATAAGGCAAGTGAGATACATTAAAGCTTAAGTAACATTGTATAACTAGCATATGATACTTATGATATACTCCCAGACAAACTAATTCCTGTAATGAATTGCAGTGTTCTTTCTGTCTTTCTCTCTCTGCCTTCTTCCCTCCTTCCCTCATTCCCTCACTTTCTGTCTCTCCCTCTCTCTGTCTTTCTTTCACACACATGCAGGAGGGGAGTGAGAATGGGAGAGATTCAGAAAGAATGATTAATTCATATTTCCTTCAGTTTAGAAATGCTCCTGTTTCATATAATATTCATACTACCATTTAATATGTTGTAGGCACATTGTTGTAGGTACAATGTAGGTACATTGATATGGTCTAAGGATCCAAAATATATATCAATAATCTCTTTAGAAGTATCCCCATTCTCAGTTCCTTTGCTGGACCTTCTTCTTCTAAAGGACATTCTCAGTCTCAAGTTAATTGCAATACTATTGATCTTATCTCCAAAGGATAATCCTTTACCCCAATGCTTCTGTCACCACCCTAGGTCCAATATACTCTTTATTCTTCCCTAAACTTCTATAATTACCACCTAACTGGTTCAGTGAGTATCCAGCTTCCTGCCCAGTGTCTTTACATTATTACATTATTTTTATTTTATTTTTTTAGTTTAAAGTCAATTACCCAACATATGGTACATCATTAGATTTTGGTGGAGTGTTCAATAATTCATCAGTTGCTTATAACACCCAGTGATCATCATATCATGTGCCCTCCTTAATGTCATCACCCAATTGCCATATCCTCCCACTCACCTCCCTTTCCACAACCCTCAGTTTGTTTCTCAGAGTCAAGAGTTTCTCATGGTTTGGCTCCCTCTGATTTCTTCCCATCCAGTTTTCCCTCCTTTCCCCTATGATCCTCTGCACTATTTCTTATATTCCACATATGAGTGGATAAGATAATTGTCTTTATCTTATAAACTTGTTTCACTTAGCATAATACCCCCTAGTTCCATCCATGTCAGTTTAAATAGTAGGTATTCATCCTTTCTGATGGCTGAGTAATATTCCATTGTATATAGGAACGTCTTCTTTACCTATTTATCTGTGGAAGGACATCTCAGCTCCTTCCACAGTTTGACTCTTGTGGACATTGCTGCTATGAACACTGGGGTGCAGGTTCCCCTTCCATTTACTACATCTATATATTTGGGGTAAATACTCAGTAATGCAATTACTGGATTGAAAGGTAGCTGTATTTTTAACATCTTGAGAAATCTCCATACTGTTTTCCAGAGTGGCTGTACCAGCTTGCATTCTCACTAAAAGTGTAAGAGTGTTCCCTTTTCTCTACATCCTCACCAGCATTTGTTCTTTCTTGTTTTGTTAATGTTAGCCATTCTGACTACTCATTGTGGTTTTGATCTGTACTTCCCTGATGACAAGTGATGTGGAGCATATTTTTCACATGTCTGTTGACTATTTTTATGTCTTCTGTCCATTTCTTGACCAGATTCTTTGCTCTCTGGGTGTTGAGTTTGGTAAGTTCTTTATAGATTTTGGATACTAGCCCTTTATCTGATATGTTACTTGCAAATATCTTCTACCATTCCATAGGTTGCTTTTTAGTTTTATTGATTGTTGCCTTCTCTGTGCAGAATATTTTTTTATCTTGATGAGGTCCCAGTAGTTCATTTTTGCTTTTGTTTCCCTTGCCTTTAGAGATGTGTCTTGCAAGAAGTTGCTGTGACCAAGGTCAAAAAGGTTGCTGCCCGTGTTCTCCTCTAGGATTTTGATGGATTCCTGTCTCACATTTAGGTTTTTCATACATTTTGAGTTTATTTTTGTTTATGGTATAAAACAATGGTCATTTCATTCTTCTGCTTGTGGCTGTCCAATTATCCCAGCACAACTTATTAAAGAGAGTTTTTTTCCCATAGGATATCCATCCTGCTTTCTTGAAGATTAGTTGACCATAGAGTTGAAGGTCCATTACTGGGGCCTCTATTCTGTTCTATTGATCTATGCATCTGCTTAGGCGTCAGTACCATACTGTCTTTTTTTTTTTTTAATTTTTTATTTCTTTTCAGAGTAACAGTATTCATTATTTTTGCACCACACCCAGTGCTCCATGCAATCCGTGCCTTCTCCAATATCCACCACCTGGTTCCCCCAACCTCCTACCTCCCGCCCCTTCAAAACCCTCAGGTTGTTTTTCAGAGTCCATAGTCTCTCATGGTTCACCTCCCCTTCCAATTTCCTTCAACTCCCTTCTCCTCTCCATCTCCCCTTGTCCTCCATGCTATTTGTTATGCTCCACAAATAAGTGAAACCATATGATAATTGACTTTCTCTGCTTGACTTACTTCACTCAGCATAATTTCTTCCAGTCCCGTCCATCTTGATACAAAAGTTGGGTATTCATCCTTTCTGATGGAGGCATAATACTCCATAGTGTATATGAACCATACCGTCTTGATGATCATAGCTTCATAAAACAGCTTAAAGTCTGGGATTGTGATGCCACCAACTTTGGTTTTCTTTGTTTTCCTCTGGCTATTTGTGGTATTTTTTGGTTCCATACAAATTTCAGGATTGTTTGTGCCAGTTCTGTGAAAAATATAGATGGTGTTTTGATAGGGATTGCATTGAATATGTAGATTGCTCTGGGTAGCATAGACATTTTAACAACATTTGTTCTTCCAATCTATGATCATGGAATGTTTTTCCCTCTCTTTGATGTCTTCTCAGTTTCTTTTGTAAGTGTTTTGTAGTTTCTAGAGTACATATCCTTTACTACTTTGGTTAGGTTTATTCCTAGGTATCTTATGGTTTTGGGTGCAATTGTAAATGGGATCAATTCCTTAATTTCTCTTTCTTCAGTCACATTGTTAGTGTATAGAAATGTAACTGATTTCTATGCATTTATTGTTGTATCCTACCATGTTGCTGAATTGCTATATGAGTTCTACCAATTTTGGGGTGGAGTCTTTTGGACTTTCCACATAAAATGTCATGTAATCTGTAAAGAATGAGAGTTTAACTTCTTCTTTGCCAATTTGAATTTTTTTTTTAATTTGTTTTTGTTGTCTGATTGGTGAGGCTAGGACTTCCAGTATTATGTTGAAAACCAGTAGTGAGAGTGGGCATCCCTGTTGTTTTCCTGACCATAGGAGGAAAGCTCTTGATTTTTCCCCATTTACAATCATATTCACTGTGGGCTCTTTGGATATGGCTTTTATGATATTGAAGTATGCTCCCTCTTGCCCTACACTTTGAAGAGTTTTAGTCAAGAAAGGATGCTGTGCTTTGTCAAATGCTTTTTATGTATTAATTGAGAGGATCATATCATTCTTGTCTTTTCTTTTATTAATGTGATCTATCATGTTGATTGATCTGTGAGTGTTGAACCACACTTGCATGCCCAGAACCATTCCACTGAGAATCGGTGACCAGCCTTCAATCCCAGACCTCTTGTCAACATCTGTGAATGTGCCTGTTCTCAGAAGCTCCAGGTTCCTTCCTTTCTCTCTTCCATAATTATCCAAATTTATTTCATCTTAGTTCTTTCAACTGTTTTTTCCTCTGCTAAATGTAATCTATATAAGGAAGTTTATATGTCTAGCTGCTTTTTTCCATTCTGGTCTAATTAAAATATATCTTTTTCCAGGACTCCTCCACTACCTTTCTATTTAAGGAAACCCTCTCTTCCCCAAGTCGCTCTCCTATAATCCCTTTTTATTTTATTTGAAACACTATTATCACTTTTGAAAATCAGCTGCTTCTGTTTATTGGTAAGAACTTACTTACCATTTTTCCCTGCTATTATCAGATCTAACTTGTTCATCATCACATTTCCAGGACTTGAAACAGCTAGGTGGTGGATTTCTAGTGCTCTATAAATATGTATTCAATAAATGAATAAAATAATGCATTAACCTCTGAGTAATGGGAGCATGAAAATAGTAACTGTTTCACTGGATTACTTGGTACAGTTTTGAATTGTTTAATTATATTTAAGGCATAAAATATTTACTCAGAGAGAGATGATGGCAGAATCTGAAAAAAATGGCCACAAGGCAGCTTTGCAGGTCACAGCATATTACCAAGTAATCTTATTGTTTTTCCAATGTTTGAAAACAAATCCAGAAAAAAATCCACAGAGAGCTTATTTTTGTTTTTAAAAAATGTGTATAGCAGCAAAAAAAAAAAAAAAAAAAAAAAGTGTTTGAAATTGATAATAGAACTACTTTAGGGGCAAGAATTTTAAACTGGAATAACATCTTATATGGACTTTCCATTCTTCCTACCTCAAGTTCCATTCTTCCCATTTATACTGAATGATCTCCAGAGATTTAAATTACCATCAGTAAATCCATGCTTTCCATCTATTTCCTAATGTGTGTCCCTGGCAGACTCTTCCTTGGGTCTGCAGGTTTCAGTTGGAGGTAGCAAAATATCATACCATGTGCAGGTCTGAGTTACATGAAAATTACTTCCCTATATCTCTGTAATATACAAACAAGTCATCTCTTTTCCAAATCTGAAAAACTCACTCTGATAAAACTCTTGTACACTGCAACTAGATCTATTAAAAACTAGGTCTAATAAAAACTAGAACCATGGCCTCTCATTTCATCTCTAATTTGTTGGAAAAATAAATATACTAAACTCTTGTTAAGAGTTTTCAATCTTTGTTTTCTTGTAAGGGAGGAGAGATGTCAATATTCTAAAGAAAGTATGGGTAGATTATATATAACATAATTAGTATTCAAATCTTTATCTCCCCGTAGTTGAAATCTCATTTAACTGTGTCACTTATAAGCTAAATTATTTATTTGTTCCAACTATTTATTTCAAATACTTATTTGCTTACCAAAAATGATTCTCCTAAAACATAGATATGACAAAAAAATCTTAATTTAATTTAATTTAATTAATTTAATTTAATATGATTTATTTATTTGAGAAAGAGAGCATAAGCAAGGGAAGGGGTAGAGGAGAGTGAGACCAGTCTCCATGCTGATCAGGGAGCCCAACATGGGACTTAGTCCCAGGGTTCTGGGATCATGACTTGAGCTGAGGCAGATGCTTAACCAACTGAGCCACCTAGGTGCCCCAGTAACCCTTTATTTTAGTTCAAAAGTCTTAATAGGCATACACTTAATCAAATTTTCAAATATGTACTTGCATTTTTTCAGATGTTGAGTCCCATAACCAAGCACGAGGTACAGTTTTCCAAAGTAGTTTATTTTTTTTCAACATAGTTTTAAAAATATGTGTTATTCAGATTGTAGCCTTAAACTATGAAGACTTTTCCCTGGGAGTTGTTCTGTATATTACACAACAATGTTACAATGTCAAGAGGTGGTCCTACAGGGAGGGGATCTCTTTGAGGAAAAGAGAAAAAGAAAACGAAAAAAAAAAAAAAAAGTATCCAGGAGACAAAAGCCATGAAATCAAATGATGAATAATAACATATGATAGCAAAACATAATAATAAATGTTAATATATTTGTTAATGTAAATTTTCTCATCCACACAATAAATATCTTCTTCTGATTTACCATATATCAAGCCAGTAGGAGGAAACTAAGACAAAACTATTTATCAATAGTAACTGTATCCCATTATATTTGAGGCCAGTACATAAGCACTCGTTGGTATTGACAAATATAATAATAAATTATTATAATTTATTTCCTTTAATGACCAAGGGTTTTGTCTTTGTTTTAAATGTCAAATGATAATTTTATTTTTATGTACTATTTAGAATTTAAATAAAGGCATTATTATAATTTTCACCCCCAAAAATGTACTTCCAACAGATTCACTAATCACTGAAATTTGATTTAAATATACCAAATGGAGGGAGGAGTCAAGATGGCAGAGAAGTAGCAGGCTGAGACTACTTCAGGTAGCAGGAGATCATCTAGATAGCTTATCTAAAGATTGCAAACACCTACAAATCTAATGGGAGATCAAAGAGAAGAAGAATAGCAATTCTAGAAACAGAAAATCAACCACTTTCTGAAAGGTAGGACTGGCGGAGAAATGAATCCAAAGCGACGGGAAGATAGACCGCGGGGGGAGGGGCCAGCTCCTGGCAAGCGGCGGAGCAAAAGAGCACAAAATCAGGACTTGTAAAAGTCTGTTCCCTTGAGGGACATTGCTCCAGAGGCTAAACCGGGGTGAAGCCCACGCGGGGGCAGTGTGGCCTCAGGTCCTGCAGGGTCACAGAAGGATCAGGGGGTGTCTGAGTGTCGCAGAGCTTGCAGGTATTAGAATGGGGAAGCCGGCTACAGAGACAGAGCCGAGGAGTGAGCTCTAAGCTCAGGTTTACCTTGAACCGGTCGCAGGCTCGGTCAGCTCAGAGCGCGGCCAGAGGCCAGGGTGAGGGGAGAAATTGGGCGCTGTTCTCTGAGGGCGCACTGAGGAGTGGGGCCACGGGCTCTCGGCTCCTCCGGGCCAGAGACTGGGAGGCCGCCATCTTCATTCCCGTTCCCTGGAGCTCTTTGGAAAGCGCTCAGGGAACAAAAGCTCCCGAAAGCAAACCCGAGCGGATTACTCAGTCCAGCCCCTGGTAAGGGCGGTGCAACTCCGCCTGGGGCAAAGACACTTGAGAATCACTACAACAGGCCCCTCCCCCAGAAGATCAACAAGAAATCCAGCCAGGACCAAGTTCACTTACGAGGAGTGCAATTTCAACACCAAGGAGAGCAGCGGAATTCCAGAGGAGGAGAAAGCAAAGAACGGAGCTCATGTCTTTCTCCCCAAGATTCTTTAGCCTTGCAGTTAATTTAATTTTTTTCTTTTTCTTTTTCAATTTTTTTTTCTTCTTCTCCTACTAATTTTTTTTTAACTTTTATCCTTTTCTTTTTTAATGTTCTTTAACTAGTTTATCTAATATATATATTTTTTCTTTTTTATATTTTTTCTTTATTCTTTTTTTTTTTTTAATTTTTTCTTTCTTTCTTTCTTTTTTTTTTTTTTTGTCTTTCTGAACCTCTTTTTATCCACTTTCTCCCCCCTCACGATTTGAGATCTCTTCTCATTTGCTTAAAGCATATTTTCCTGGGGTTGTTGCCAACATTTTAGTATTTTACTTGCTCCTTTATATACTCTTATCTGCACAAAATAACAAGGCAGGAAAATTCACCACAAAAGAAAGAACAAGAGGCAGTACCAAAGGCTAGGGACCTAATCAATACAGACATTGGTAATATGTCAGATCTAGAGTTCAGGATGATGATTCTCAAGGTTCTAGCCGGGCTCGAAAAAGGCGTGGAAGATATTAGAGAAACCCTCTCGGGAGATATAAAAGACCTTTCTGGAGAAATAACTAAAATCTAACCAAGTTGAAATCAAAAAAGCTATTAATGAGGTGCAATAAAAAAATGGAGGCTCTCACTGCTAGGATAAATGAGGCAGAAGAAAGAATTAGCGGTATAGAAGACCAAATGACAGAGAATAAAGAAGCTGAGCAAAAGAGGGACAAACAGCTACTGGACCACGAGGGCAGAATTCGAGAGATAAGTGACACCATAAGACGAAACAACATTAGAATAATTGGGATTCCAGAAGAAGAAGAAAGAGAGAGGGGAGCAGAAGGTATATTGGAGAGAATCATTGGAGAGAATTTCCCAATATGGCAAAGGGGACAAGCATCAAAATCCAGGAGGTCCAGAGAACCCCCCTCAAAATCAATAAGAATAGATCCACACCCCATCACCTAATAGTAAAATTTACAAGTCTTAGTGACAAAGAGTAAATCCTGAAAGCAACCTGGGAAAAGAAGTCTGTAACATACAATGGTAAAAAATATTAGATTGGCAGCAGACTTATCCACAGAGACCTGGCAGGCCAGAAAGAGCTGGCATGATATATTCAGAGCACTAAACGAGAAAAACATGCAGCCAAGAATACTATATCCAGCTAGGCTATCATTGAAAATAGAAGGAGAGATTAAAAGCTTCCAGGACTAACAACAACTGAAAGAATTTGCAAACACCAAAACAGCTCTACAGGAAATAATGAAAGGGGTCCTCTAAGCAAAAAGACACCCTAAAAGTAGTAGATCAGAGAGGAACAGAGACATATACAATAACAGTCACCTTACAGGCAATACAATGGCACTAAATTCATATCTCTCAATAGTTACCCTGAATGTTAATGGGCTAAATGCCCCAATCAAAAGACACAGGGTATCAGAATGGATAAAAAAACAAAACCCATCTATATGTTGCCTACAAGAAACTCATTTTAGACCCAAAGACACCTCCAGATTTAAAGTGAGGGGGTGGAAAAGAATTTACCATGCTAATGGACATCAGAAGAAAGCAGGAGTGGCAATCCTTATATCAGATTAATTAGATTTTAAGCCAAAGACTAAAATAAGAGATGAGGAAAGACACTACATCATACTCAAAGGATCTGTCCAACAAGAAGATCTAACAATTTTAAATACCTATGCCCCTAACGTGGGAGCAGCCAATTATATAAACCGATTAATAGCAAAATCAAAGGAACACATCAACAATAATACAATAATAGTAGGGGACTTTAACACTCCCCTCACTGAAATGGACAGATCATCCAAGCAAAAGATCAACAAGGAAATAAAGGCCTTAAATGACACACTGGACCAGATGGACATCACAGATATATTCAGAACATTTCATCCCAAAGCAACAGAATACACATTCTTCTCTAGTGCACATGGAACATATACCAGAATAGATCACATCCTCGGTCCTAAATCAGGTCTCAACCGGTATCAAAAGATTGGGATCATTCCCTGCATATTTTCAGACCACAATGCTCTGAAGCTAGAACTCAATCACAAGAGGAAATTTGGAAAGAATCCAAATATATGGAGACTAAACAGCATCCCTCTAAAGAATGAATGGGTCAACCAGGAAATTAAAGAAGAATTGAAAAAAATCATGGAAACAAATGATAATGAAAACACAATGGTTCAAAGTCTGTGGGACACAACAAAGGCAGTCCTGAGAGGAAAATATATAGCGGTACAAGTCTTTCTCAAGAAACAAGAAAGGTCTTGGGTACACAACCTAACCCTACACCTAAAGGAGCTGGAGAAAGAACAAGAAAGAAACCCTAAACCCAGCAGGAGAAGAGAAATCATAAAGATCAGAGCAGAAATCAATGAAATAGAAAAAAAAAAAAAATAGAACACATCAACGAAACTAGGAGCTGGTTCTTTGAAAGAATTAATAAGATTGATAAACCCCTGGCCAGACTTATCAAAAAGAAAAGAGAAAGGACCCAAATAAATAAAATCATGAATGAAAGAGGAGAGATCACAACTAACACCAAAGAAATACAGACAATTAGAAGAACATACTATGAGCAACTCTACGCCAACAAATTTGAAAATAT